CTAATTAAAGAGTACATAATAAATAGTAAATAAATAAATGCATCTTGGATTGCCACTGGCAAGAGGGAATGTGCTCAGCCTGGCTGCGGAGCAGCCCATGTCCTGCCTGGAGGGCCTGGAGATGCCATCAGTGCCTGTCTGGCCCTGGTGATCCCTGCGTGGCCCTGATGAGGGGACCCGCTTTGCTGGGAGCTCTGCCATCCCTTTCGCACGATAGTGAGGATGAACAGGCGTGTGAAGGGCTGTGCAGTGTCTGCACATGCTTGTGCTGCTGCTTCAGGTTTTTTAAACAGCAAAGGGGGGCCGTGTGTGCACGTTTTCACCCTAGTTAAAAGTTACCTGTGTACAGAATGGAGTTTATGGGCTTAGTGAAATAAATCTGTTTACACTGCAGCCTTTCGGCTACATATGCTGTAACCCCCAGTGCAGAGCAGCAAGCGGAATACTAAATGATTAACTGATCCAAGAATAGGATGTGCAGTGAATCGTATTAGGTTTTGCCTGGACTGGAAAGTCAAGCTAACAGAAAATAAATGTGATGTTGAATGGCTGTCATTTTGACAGTGCATGAGCCATACATTTTCATTTAGTCCAAGATATTGAAGAACAACTTCAGTGCTTTCAATCTTTCTTTAGAACAAGGTTCTCTTCTGTTTTACTAAGTAAACATATAATGATAGCAACGTTATTTCAATTAATGATATTAATCCTGAATAATAACTTCACAATGGGCACTTCGAATGGCAGCCATTGGTGTTAAGCGTGGCTCAGCACTGTCTCTCGTGTCCTCAGCAACATCCCAAGTTCTGCTGAAGGAGGGATCTGGAATAAGGGCTTCAGTTGGGACATGCTGCATAGAGTTCCCCTTGCTCTGCTTTCAGGCCATGCACTTTCATGAGATTATTACAGTCCATGCGTGGGTGAAAGTAATTACCATAGTTGTTAGTCTTGTGTAAGCAAATCATATCCTACTGTATCCTTTTGCTAACCTTAGATTGCAGTTAGTTTTACCATTCACTGCAGGATTACTATTATTTTGTTTCATTATGTTGTATTTACTAATAAAGCCGCTTCAAATAATGATTCATATCTAGAAGCAATTTAGTATGTCCTCATGCTCCTATTTGTTGACTTTTTTAATGAAATGGAAAAGCACAATCGATCAGAACTGACTTTGTTATTTTGATTTATAAATTCAGCTTCAAGGGTAAGCAAAGTTCTAGAAAACTCTTAGCTGTGCTGCTGAGAAGATCTGCAGGGGGGGTTTGCAGCTGTGGAAGAGTTGGATTTTTGTATTTGCTTAGCAACTGAGACCGTGGTTTGTTTATATATATATATGTGTATATATATATATATATGTAAGGCTGTACACTTGCAAGTTTACCATGGCTATTTATATTTGAGTGACAAGAAAAGGTCAATCTTAAGCAGAGTGGAAATAAGATGAAAGTATTGCTTACTGTGTAGGACGAAAGAGTCATTTCTCTCTGTTTTGTAAATGAGGGGAGATAATCCTGGTTGGACTATGCCGCATTTTACCTAGCTATTAATACCAGCTGATCTTGCTATCCTGCTGGAGAGCAGGGTATTGGGTGACATAGACCTGGCCCTTGTAGTTTATGTTGTGCAGTTTCAGGTCAGTGATTAATTAGATTATTGCATCCATGGCAGGAGGGAGAGTAGGGCTCCAGATTTTCCCTGTGTAACCAAGATGGACACAACAAACACACTTCTGCACTGCGAGAGTGGTTGAAACAGTTGCCCAGAGATTGTGGACTGTCCATCCTTGGAGATACTCAAGACCCTATTGGACCCAGTCCTGGGCAACCTGCCCTCGCAGGCCCTGCTTTTGTGGGGGAGTTGGACCAGGTGATCTGCATTAGTCCCTTACAACCCCAGCTCTTCTGTGATGAAATTCCCTGAGTTTGCGGTGGATAAGGAGAGCTACAAGAGCTTCAGACAGATTGCAAGAAGATGTGGAAAGGTTTGAGTAGGATGTGGTGGAGGAAGAAATTTGGAGCTGAGCACAACTTCCTGCACGTCAGTGTTAAGGAGCTCTTCAGGTCAGAGCAGTAACTTGCTCTTTTGTCCTCTGAGCTAAGGTATTTAAAGAAACTAGCCAAAATTGTAGGTCAGACTCTTCAAAAATAGCACAGAGATTGACTGAAAAGCCAATAAATACTAAATACTGTTTAAAAACATTGCAACTGAGATTAGTAATTTTTCATTGTTGGCATTTCAAGGTCACATTGTAAAATGCATCTGTTACTTGAGCAGCGATAGAGTAAGTCCAAGCAGCGTGACTTTCTTTAAAGCAGTATCCTTGAAAAGTTAAAATTTCTAGAGGGTTTCCAAATGTTAATAGAAAAAAACAGAAATTGGATTCCCTTGGACTCAGGGAACTTTTAGTAAGATGTGTAGCTATAAAAATATATGAAAGTATATCCTTTAACTCCTGGAAAGTGGTATTTTTTCTTTTTTAAGAAAAAAAAAAAAAAAGGAAAATAGCAATGTAACCAACAGCGGTGGAAATTGTAATGGAACTGTGAAGGAAGTAGTATTTTAGTAGACTACAGAAACTAAAGATTATATATATATATATATATATATATACACTCTATTTCTAATCTAAAGATTATAATCAAATCTTGAAAATCTTAATTAATTTAAAATTAAATGTATCTAAAATATTAATCTCTAATGCAGTGCAGTTTGTGGAAGTCTCTAGATGTCCAGTATAGCAATAGATTAAGTACCAGTTCCAGGGGGTAAGAAGGTTGAAAGCAAAAACTTAATGGTCTTGTGTATCAATAGGAAATGAAGCTGAATTTCAGCCTTCATAGCAGTTTAATGAAACCATTTTAGGAAAATGTAATATAATGTTGTATCAATGAAAAAAAAATCCTGCTGTCTTCCAAATATAGCCCAAGGATTTATTTTCTGTGTTTATTTAAAACATTCAAATTAACCTTCAGTTCAGCCATATATCCTGAAACTGGAATTTCTATAGCCTTTGGAGTTCAGTGTGAATGACTAAAGCATTCTTCCAGGCAGTTTTTGTTTTTTTTTTTCTTTTTTAGAATTACAAAGCTTGAACAAAGAGCTTCAAGAAGAAAGATAGAAACACTTGGAAACACAGAACGATATATTAACCAAACCTGAAATATAAACTAGAGCAACTAGAGCTTACGTACTGGATGGCAAAAGAAGATAAATGATTGTTAGTTTTTGGAATTTGTACTTATAAATAGATGATTTCTGAGCAATAGAAAAACAAAATGCAGTATATTTTGAGGCAGAGAAAAAAAAAAAGAAGCTGCAAACATGAAACACCCAATCTGATTTTTTGGGCGGTTGAATAAGGAGAAAAGAATGGGTTTTACAGTGACTGTAATGAATTCTGAGGAAAGCTCTGATGGAGCAAGTTTTGATGCAGGTGATACCGTTTCAAGTCCATGTTTCAGTTCTCTCCACTTCTGTTGTTGATTTTGTTTGTTACAGTTTTCCACTCCTCAAAGTGACACTGAAGATTGGTCTCCTGGGAACTTATTCTGTTCCTGAATTAGACTGCAAAGTTGTTTATGTATCAGCAGCACTACTAGTTACAGTGGAGAAAATGCATCGTGCAAGAAAATTAGGGATCATACCAGAAAAGAACATAAGGGTTTTAAAGACAAATACTTTGAAGAGAGGTATTAACAGATCCTGCAGTCAGAATAGGTTTGACCATTGTGGCAGTTTGACTTGGCCTCCTACATAACAGACTACATAACAACTGATGAAATGGATGAAGTCTTAGACCTTATGGTTATGAAAACTGATACGGGCTTGGAACATAAGAGTATTTTCTTTGTAGATATTGGGATTTTGTAAATTGAAAAGATTATGGGGCATTTGTAGAATGGATGCTTTAAAAGACTCATGTTATTGTTACACATACTATTTTTATTTAAATCATTTATCATAATAACTTATTTCAGTAGTAAAACGGACAGAAAAAAAATCACTGTGAGTTCAGAAATGTATTTTATTTGAAAAAGCGACTGAAAATGCTGTGTGTCAAAGTTTTTGCGTTTGACATTTTCAAATGCAGCCAAATAAATCCCTTTTGCAATTTCACCTTGATAATACGTTACTCTCCTCATGACAGAAGATTGGGAGCAGACTTTAATTTCTGCTGAACACTTGGATGGTTAATCAATTCTTTTTTAATAATGGGAAGGAAAAAAAATCTTGAATTAACAGGCAGTAGTTTGAATTAGTTTGAAGAACGCCTTAACACTTGGAAATGTAATTTTTTCAGCCTGTGAGCTATTAAGGCCAGACCTGACTGATCCTTGGATAAGAAGAAAACTTAAGGAAGGCTTAAGATGCTGTATAAAGGGTTTCAGTTTCTGTTTTACAAGAGCCTGGGGCTCTTGTAATAGAGCCTGTTGAAAGTATGTAGAAGATGCTACTTTTGAAATAAAACACTAAATTAAAATTCTCTGCTAAGAAGTTGATAGAGTAGTTGTAGGGCGATCATGGTTTTTGTTGAAACATTGTATTGCTGAAGTTTGAAACCAGCTCACTGCTTTTAGAGGTTAGATAAATCACTAATAATTCATACGTGATTGAGGGACTTCGGTTTTAGGGTTCAGGATATATTTCAAATAAAATAATTATATTCCACCTCTCAGCACACTTAAATTTCACCTGGAAAGTCTGTTCTTCTTGTTTTAATCATTCTTCATTTTTGCTGGATACACACTGTTTTACAGAAGAGCTGCTTTTGACTGCGTTGGTAAATTTACCAGGGAATGTACACACTATTGAATGGGCACATCTGGTTATATAAATCTCCTAAGGCATGATGTTATGTCGATTTTTTTGCTTGACTTTAATGAAACAAAATCAGACCCTTTGATTAAAAGGATATTATAAATATGATGTTTGTTAAATTAGTCTATTGATTTTATGAACATTAGCTTACAAGGTCATGAGTTGCAAAATTCCACAAAATGGCAAATCTGCCCTACAACAGTTTATGTTTTACCGTGCGTAACGGCTCTTCGTTACGTTCCAGGATGGAACATGAGGCTACCCAGCTAGAGAAGCAGCACGTGCACAGCGTGTATGAGAACACAGCCGCCTACCTCAGCGACCTGCAGAGCAAAGCGTGGCCTCGCGTGCGCCAGTTCCTGCTGGAGCAGCCGCCCGGCAGCCTCGTCGCAGACATAGGCAAGACTGTCCTCTCTGCCCGCCAAAACGCTGTCCGGAAGCATCCTTAGCTTATGTGTTAATCCTATGTATCTTGCAGAGCAATTGCTTTAAAACTTTAAAACTAATCTTTGAGAAATTGTTTTAAAAATGTTTGTAAACCTATCTTAGATGCCATATAGCGCATATTTTATTGTGCGCCTATTTGATAGTGTGTCGGGTAGCCGATAAATACAGTTTTTCAGTTCTTAACTTACTTTGATTGAGGTATCTTCTATTGATCATCTGTTAGTTTCTCCAGCCTAGACCTAGTGGTCTATGGTTCCCCCGTAGACCTTCTTAAAGCCAATGCTAAGAGATTAAATATATAATTTTTAATTTTGTTAATTTGTTCTAAAACTCCTCCTATCCAGGCCTTAACTTGAAAGAAAGCTAATGTATTCACTGCTTTTTTTTTTTTTTAAAAAAAAAAATCCCTATAGTCCTGAATATGAACCCCAAAACCGTTTTTTTTAATTATCTGATATTAAAATATTTTTGTTTGCAAGCTTTACATGAGACCTGATAATGGTAGTAATTTGCCTGATTGCAAATGTCAAAAGATAAAAGCACAGCCATGGTTAATAACTTCATGACAGATTTCACCCTCCTCTTGACTCACTTTGAAGTGAATCTCCTGTTAATGGAGAATTCCAGAATATCAGGCATGTTATCACTATTTGGCTTCATTCTTATTCACAGAGTGGACTCCATACCCACTGTGATTTTAAGAAAAATGACAAAAGCTATGAATAAAGCAGCTGAAATGTCTAAATTGGTATACACATAACTTTATACTAATTTTAAAACTCACATGTTCTTACTGGTGTGTAGAGCTTCATGCTTTGTTGCATGCCATCCTTGAACTGCATTAATAAGATTAATCTTCTCCATTTGTATCAAGTGTTACTTCAAGGAGTGAGGCTTGCTTTTTCCTCGCTTTAGCAGCGGGCGCTCTCTTCGCCGCTGAAGTGTTGTGCTGCTTCCCAGCAGTTCCTGTGCTGTCTCTGTAGATAATGGTGCACATTAACATCAGTGAGAGCAGCAGTGCTGCAAGAAGCACTGATGTTTCTAAAGATAACTCCAGGCCTTTAAATTGAATTTTCAATACTGCAGTGGTTCTCTTTGCCAAGCTGCTACCCTGTTGCTTGGCTGTCAACTTTCAGAAATTATTCTTCACTACTGACCCATAACAGCAGTGAATATTTTCTAATCCAATCTTGGAAAGTGCCCGTTACACATACAGTATGGAAGAACACTCTGAAAGATTTAAGTTTAGTATAGCACAGTCCTTTAGGAAACAGGCTTTTTGGTGGAAGCCATTCTGGAACCGTTCATTACATTTGTGTGCGCGTTATGGAATGGGTGCAGTGCATTGAAAGAGAGAAGGAGAATGTGCCTGCAATATGGGAGAAACGACCCACAGTTATCTTCCAGTCTGTCTCTGAAATTACAGTTCTCCTCTCCGACCTGTGTCAATCACGGTTGTCATTTAGGTTTTCTTGGAAAGAAATCTTTTCCTCTGCTTTGCAGTCACAGAGCCCTAGTGGGCTGTAGATCTTGGTAGTGTTGTTAACAGGGCATGAAGTACGGCCAGTGATGGCTCCGGGATGGACCAATAGATCCACATCCTCCTTAGTCCTCTCCCTTGCATTCTGTGTAAGTAGGATGCTTTGGAGAGGTAGTGCATGGCACTTAGCAGAGATTGTCTGGGGAGAGAGATCTACTGCAGGTCACTAAAAAGATAAACCCCACTAGTTTCCAGGGAGATGCCCCAAGGGGAAAGTAGTTGGCAGCTGGGAGGGTGCTGAGGAGAAAGGTCACAGGTGCTTCCCCTGTTCCTGCCTTTTCTGGGCACGAGTTGTGGTCACTGCTGGAAGCAGGATAGCAGACTGCAGCGCGTGTTGGCCTCGGCCAGCCTGGCTTTCCTCGTGTTCTGTGCTGTGCAGAGGTGCTCTCACTGCCCGCCACCTGCGCTGACCTGTCTTCCCTATAGAAATACGTGGGACCTGGTATTCCAAAGGGCTATGCAAGGAGATTTTTGTTGGTCTTATTTGTCATGCTGTTCCTAATGGTGTAACATGCAATTTCACACAGTCCAAATGAATCCTTTGAGAGTTAGACTGGTAGGAGCAAACATATGTTTTGTTTTCCAGAAAATTCTAGGATAAGGAAAGACAATCCCATCTCTCCCAGTATTTTACCTGCTTTGGAAGGGATAGCAAGTGTTTGCACCAAATGACTTCTGCTCTAGTGAAGAGGTTTCTTTTCTTTTCAGGTTGTGGAACTGGGAAGTATCTCAGTGTCAACAGTCAGGTGTATAATCTCGGCTGCGATTACTGCGCACCCTTGGTAGACATTGCAAGGAGGAAAGGTGATGAAGTTCTGGTATGTGACAACCTTAACCTTCCCTTTAGGGATCAGTGCTTCAATGCAATCATTTCCATCGGAGGTAAGAGATTATTCATGCATTCGGGCCCACAAAAAAAAAATCTTACGGATCTTTTTGATAAATTTTATTTTGAAACAGTTCCCTTGTAATCATAGCAGATTTTACTGAAGTGAATGTACGAAACATGAAAAAAAAAGGGGGAGGCTATTGCATAGTGATGCCATTGACCAAGGAAATATGTGGATCATTTGTTTGTTTATATGTGGCCTTGTCTGCCCTCTGGGAAAAAGATTTCCTTCTAACATGCATTTTAAACAAGTGAAAACTAGTATAAACAATGCTGCTTACAGTTTAAATACATTAGGTGGTCAGGATAAACCCTTGGTTCCTCCTCCTGGTTTTGAAGAGAAAATGCATTGAAATGAAAACTTGCCTTTTCTAGAAAGACGAGGACCTGAACCTCATGTGCTGTGAATAAAAATTTGTCTTTGAGCAGTCATGAAGTAAGAATATAGAGCCATCCAAGTGCTGTTGTCTAAAATGAGTCAAGATTCTCAAAGTCTTAATTCCTTTGATCTGCTTTATGAAAATACTATTCATAACTGAGAGGGATGAGAGGGATGGGATGGGGGGAGAGAGAAAGATAGAGAGAATCCAATTAAAGACTATTTTTAACTCTGTGCTTCCCTGAACTTGTTTGGGCAAAATTGTAAAGCATGAAAGTTGTTATTCGTGGCTGACAGTTGAGAAACAACTCAAAATATGTCAGAAATGCAAAGTGTATTTTTCACAAATGCATAAAATTTGAAAGCAAAGAAATAGTGACTAATATGAAAGCAGGATTTATATTATTTTGCTTTCATTTTAACTGGTGAGCCAGGGAGATATATCTACATTTCAGGTACTGTAGCATAATCTCAGTAATATCAGATCAACCCACTTTGAAGCCAAATATTTATGCCAATTACAGACCTGATCAGAGTAATGTCCAGCTGACATTTTTATACATTTAACAATAATGAATTTTGAGCAGAGCAATTTTGGTGTACCCGTAGCCATCTAATCATAGATGAAGAGTTTTTCATTAAATTCCAGAGCATGACAAATACTTGTCTAAATATTCAAATTCTCTTCTACTCTTTACCAGCATAATTACATTTGTAGGCTTCATATTGCCTTAGAATCACCAAAGGGATTATGTAATTTTAATCATGAAGCATTTTTAACCAATAAAATGAACTGATTAGACAGGGACTGTTTGTTGTGAAAGAGAGCACTCCAGTGTAAACTTGCACAGTGTTACCAGTAAAAATAGCCCTGTTTCTGGCTTGCAGTTAGTGACACTTGTGATACGGCGATTAAAATGATTAAATGCATAGAAAAGATTGGAGCAGGAAGTACTATGTCAATACATAATGCTAATATTCCATATATAATGTCTCGTAGTGATCCATCATTTCTCAACTAAACGAAGAAGAATCAAAGCAATAAAGGAAATGGCAAGAGTGTTGATACCTGGAGGTCAGATGATGATTTATGTTTGGGCTATGGAACAAAAGAATCGCCGCTTTGAGAAGCAAGATGTGTTTGTTCCTTGGAATAAAGCTTTGTGCTCACGGCATTTTTCAGAATCGAGTCAACCCGGAGATAAGGGTGAGTTTGTGCGTTCTGTAAAGAGCCAAGACGGGCTCCCTGCGCAGCTAGTCCTCTCTGACTGCAGCTACCCCACCAATCTGCAGTCAGAAACAGATTCAAAACATTCCCATAATATGAACCATTGCCTGTCCAGAGCCTGCTGCCTGAAAATTTCCGAAGAAGAAAACAGATTTTACAGTGCTCTAGGAAGATCTTTCCGTTCCTGGTTTTCCTCCAGATCCTTAGATGAATCAACCCTGAGAAAGCAAACGGAGAAGATGAAGTCCATGAAGAATGAGGGCGAATGGGCAAACAGTGCCGTATCCCTCCAGCATTCGAGACACTGCAGTTTGGACTTAGGGCCTCATGGGGCCCTGATAAAAGAACAAAGTTTAGATGATGACGATGTGTTTGTGGCAAACCTGCCTCTCCAAAAAACAGCGTGGTCACCAGCCACAAATGCACTACAGGATTCAAATCTGAATGGAGGACACCGAAGTGTAATTCAGAGCAGAAGTGAAGAAACCCCTTTTGTGGGTGGCCCAGTGGAAGAGCAGGACTGTAGCTGCAGCACTAACAAAGATGATGCTGGTAGGTCTGATGGCAGCAAGTTTTTCAAAAGAACTTCAACAACTGACTCCACTGATTCTGCCTTGGATTCAGCAGTGTCCGTTGGGGAGCAAAGTGCCGACACGCTGGACACAAAGGCCTTCATGCGCTACTACCACGTCTTTCGGGAAGGGGAGCTGTGCTCGCTGCTGGAAGAGAACGTACCTGAGCTTCAGATACTTTCTTCCTGCTACGACCATGGAAACTGGTGCGTTATTGCAGAGAAAAAGGGGAAAGAGCTGTAAAAAGAACAACATTTCAGTAACTGGGGGTTTTAAAAAATAAAATGCTTCTTGTGTTCCTGGGATCGTGCTGTATGACATGGAATTTCAATCTCATGTAGTTGTGTGCCATCCGTTTTCGATTTTACTATCTGACTGCCTATATGTCCATCTAATGCAAGGCCTGTACATAGAAATGTAAGTGGTTAATATTTATGTTTTGTTAAACTTTTATGAAGTTAAAAGTGGAAAGTTTTATATTGCTTTTAACAAATAACCGTGTTTTTAAATACACTTTTCTATTGAAAAATAAAACCTTTTATAAATCAAGGAAAGGATCAGGACATCTTTTCTGAGAAATATCCTTCGAGTAGAGAGTTAAGGCTTGGTTCTTCAACCATTTTAACATAACTTAAGCATGTTTTGCATTACTTTCTGATCTGATATCATGGTCTGAATCAGAGTCCTACAGATAAGAGCCATAGACACATCTTGAAATGCACTTGATAGTAGCCTGCCTGACACAGGCCACAGAGCTGGGAGCAAGCATGGACCTGTGCTACTGATTTCAGAGCACTTGGTAAGAGGCAAAAAGGAAACACGTACCAAGCAAGCTCTGCATTTTCTGTCATTGGAGGGTGCTATTTGTGACAAAGTGACAGGACAGATTTTGAACAGTATTTTCTTTAAAAAGTAATTATTTAACTGGTCTCTCAGGTGGAAGGTAAGTTTTCTATGTTAGCTCTCAGAAATGCTCTATCTTAATTTCCTTTGCTGTAGTTTTTCTCTGGTTATTTGTACAGAAGAGTCAGAGAGATTAGTGAGAGTATCAGTATTACATAAAGGTTGCAAGCTATCAAATACATTGATATACATATATATATATGATAAGCCTGGGACACTGGAATAAAATTGATGAATTCCAGTGCATATCTTGGTTAGCTGTGATATTTTCTGTTCTCACTTGCTTACCTGAGAATATTTGCTAAATTGTCTATTAAACAGTGTAGATAGGAAGAGGATAAAAATCAAGTTTGTAAATAAAATGTTTTTTTTTTATTTTTATTTACAAGTACCTACAAAAATCTGATCTGCAAGTCAGATTACAAACTATTTAGAAACCCTGTCTTCTGCACTTTAAGTGAGTCTTTTGACGTTCCTGATGCCTCTTGACATTGGAGACCTTAAGGATCATTCACTGCTAACGCACTTTTCCCTTTCCCTGTAAAACATGACTTTTGCTGAGCACTCTGTCCAGTCATCAGATTGTAGCAGGTCGTGTCTCTGGCTGACTCCTTGGTTTGTATGGAGTTACTGCATTCCTGGGCTTTGTTTGCAGCCAGTGGTTTTGGGGCAGGACTCGTCTTCTGCAGGCTGCAGGATTTGGCATCGTGTCGGGACCATCTGACTCAGCTACTCAGCCTCACCGCAAGCCCCTGTGGAGGTGCCACTCTGTGGAAGTGTCAGGGCAATTCACTGAGATTCGGCGAAGAAGTCTGAGAATGCAGCACAGCAGCACGGAAATACCAAACTTTCTGCGGTGACGTACCAAGCTTCCTGCACGTGCTCTTAGAACTGGTCCACTCTGTGCAGCGTGAGCAGATGGATTTGGGGTTGTGGGTGTTTTCTGAGGTAGCTGCTCAGGAGTCATTCCTACACGGTAAGGTAGTGTGTTTTTGTTTGCTGAAGTGAGGCCTGTAGACTAAACATCTTTGTCTGTCTCACAGTTTGGGAACCTTTATCCTTTTATCCTACTGTATCCTCCCTGTGACTGTGCCAAGTGCAGGAGGCAAATGCCCACGGCCTTTTGAAAATAAAAACATAGGCAAAGAACCATCCGTCAGAGACATCTCAAACAGTATTCCTTCCCAAGTACCCAAACTTCCAGTGCATCCCGGGGCTTTGCTTGTCCAGGTCCACGTGCCATGAAAACGGAAATGTTGCCTGTGCCGCTGGATCCGGGTGCTCCCGCTCTGTCCCGCGGACGCAGCGCAGTGCCGGAGACCCGGAGCGGATCCACCCTGCAGGCGCCTGTGCGGCCCTGCTGAGCTCACGCCTCGTCCCAGGGCGCTCCCGTCCTGCCGGGACCTGTCCCATCGCCGCGACGTCCCGAGGAGCGCGAGGATGCCGGAGACGAGCCCCGCGGCTCCCAGGTGAGGTCTGTCAGAGGCCTTTGCGTTTTGGTGCGAGGTGGTTGTATCCCTGACCTCCAGCCAGCAGGAACTCCATGAAACGTGTACAAATGTACCTGTAAAATGGGCAAATGTAAACCATCAACCAGGGGAGGTTATCTGGGAAAAGGGGTGTTGTAATTCTGTCTGCACTTCCGCAGTCTATCCATGGAGTGGTCAGTGTGTAGCCAAGCTGGCTGATAGAGCTGGGGTGAAGGAAGGAAGGAACCCCCATTCTCATTACAACAGAGACTTGTTATCCTTGCAAGAGGCTGCACCTGGGATTGGGGCCCTTGTAAAGCCACCCAGCACGTGAATGAGGGAGAGCAGCATCGCAGAGCCACCGAGGTGCCCCGAAACCCTCGCTCAGGCTCCAACCTCCCAGGGGAGCTGCTGTAGATGGATTTCTCCTTAGTGCGGCAAAGGTGTCGCTTCCCAAAGCATCTGGGTGATCCCAGTCGTTACCTCCTGGGCATAGTATGCTCACACGTGTGTTTGCCGTTGAGAAGCCTGCAAGAAATAACTGAATAGATGGATAAAACCCAGCTCCCCCAAACATGCTGAAAATTACCACAAAGGGCAGCCCACAAGATGTGCCCGCTGCAAGGCAGAAGGGGAATAATGTGCTCCTGTAGTGGCAGGGGGCAAAACTGTCCCCCCCGGTTCAGCCAGTACCGAGCTGCAGCTCATCTCTTTAACTGGAGCACGGAGATGTTGTGGATGGCCCGGAAAAG